ATGCTGCTGCTTATTTTGGTGAATCAGTTGTTTTCATGTTTTTTTAAGGCTGATATTTCCGTCCTCCTTTTACATGATAAGATTGACACAGACGTTACATTTAAACAATTTTAAGCAAAAAATAAATATTCCTTAAGGGAAAAGTCCGGTCAGCAAGGAATAATCAGTGGATCATTATCTATGCCTAAAACTAATACGTTCGTGTTGATTTAATGAATGTAGCATTAATAGGTAATAATTTTCATTTATAAAACGCAATCACTGATTCTTGGAGCGGCCATTTTTGCCCAAATATAGTAACCCCTCCCTACTGCCATCTTCCGGCAGTGACGTCACGGTGCGGTAAGCCTAGCGCCATTCTCCCCGCTTTACAAGCTAAATCAATGGGAACTACTAGACACATCTGCAATCAACAACAATTATTGAAGATTGAAATTCACCAGAGCTATAGTGAAACTGACAATGCCCACGTGCATGGCAGCTGGATGCTGGAATACATCGGCTAAAAGTGAAAACAAAGAGTTATTCCACCTTTCGGATTTCTGATCCTCCACGGTCCGTCGTTGGATTGCCAACTTGGAGAGGGAGGATTTGCCATCGAACTTCTGGCCAGAGAAAAAACACGTCATATGTAGCCAACATTTGGAAGAAGAATGTTTTCAAGATGACTTGGATAATAGCGCGTTGTGACAAACACCAGATACAGCACTGGGACTTGATCAACAGCCGATACCGCACCGTGACGTCACAAACCAGTAGGTGGCAGTAGTGTTCTTTGACAAACATGGACGCCTCCAGTAAAGCACATTCACATGAAAATTACTCTTATTTAAAAGCACGTATTATTTATTGAACAGTTTGTAATATTATCATATTTAAAGTACTTTCCAAAGTTTGAATTCGGAATATGAGCGGACTTTTCCTTTAATAAATTAGTTAACGAATAGGAGGGAGTAGTGCTGCAGGCACGTCACCTGATCTCGATACATGAATCAGTTTTTATCTGTCAGGGAAAATAATTTGACATTTTAACTGATCGCTCACACAAAGAAAAGTCTGGGCGCCACCATCCAGTTTCAGCTGGTTCTTCCTACCTGTGAGCCACTCCAGACCCGCAGAGCTAATTTGAAAATTTCAGGCTGCCTTCGCCGTGTCTCTGACTTCAGAGGAGATGTCTTGGTATAGGATGTTCAATAATTCAGCACTACAGGCAGCCGGGAGAATGTATACAGTGTCTCATTTGAGAGCGGGGTAAGTTGAGGGTTAGCAGCATCAGCTTCGATCTGGGGAAACAGGGGGGGTGAGGGGGTGCCTGTCGAGTTCTGCTGCTCTCATTTGTTAAAGTTCCACCGACTGCACATACTTACCAGGAATGAAGATTTTATTTTTTTTTTTCCCCTTGCCTGCAGATATTAACACTTAAGTGTCAAACATGCATAGCCACCTCCGCATGTTTCTGTTTTTGTGTCGCAGACGCCACAATGCATCCTGGTATTCAATAACCCCCATACCCCAATCTCCTCGCATTGTTTCAAATATCTTTTACATCTTAGGTTTACCACATCAGATTCTTTGTGTACCATTGTTGGTTAGGAAGCGTTTTCACATGCATGGTCACAGCAGGAGGCTGGGGATGCCCTCTTAATCTGGGAACAAGCGTGGAAGTCGTGTGGAACAGGATTCCTCCGCTTCCCATTTAGTAACGCCCATCCTCACATGCCAGGCAAAGCACGCCCAGAATGGCTCCTAACTCCTAGGTAGGTGGCGGTGAGGTGAGAAACGCATGATAAATGGAATCTCCAATATGTGGTTACCCACCCCCACCCCTGCACTGCTACAGCTCCTCCATCTCTGCAGGGCGGCTGATAGGCCCGCTGAGGGCTCTTGTCGCCGGTTGGATTAGGCGCTGATGCAAAAAGAGGCTTAAGGGCCGCAGGAAGCAATGACTCCAAAAGGAGGAGGTTAAAGCGGGGGAGGCGGCACCAATCAGGAGATGCTCTGAGGGGCCACCTGCGCCTCATGGTGTCAGTAGGGAGCAGGTCAATCCCCTCGTGACATACAGGTCAGGGTCAGGACTTTGCGGGATCAAAGAGGAGATGATACGCACACAAAGACCAAAGACTAATCCTTTCACGTCAGCAGACAGAAACAAAAAGAAAAACTACAATCCTAGTTGTCCTTTGCTGTGCTGTTTGTTCACACCACCCTTTAAAAGCTTTCTGGGTTTAAACTCCCTCAAAGAAACCTTAGAAAGAAGCATTGTGAGCTATAGTTGATGAAGCGTTGTCCAATGAGAAACGAGACAAAGCTGCACATTTCCTCTTCTCTTTTTTTTTTTTTTTACTGATTGGAGGCTCAGCTCACTTCCGCTCTGCGGTGCAGGACATGGAGATGTGAGAAGAGGCTGGTGATCCAACGAGGACAAACGGCAGGCTTATATCTACCAGCCATCTGTCAGCTAGCACAACTAATCCAGCAGCAACGGATGGGCCGCTCCTACCCAACAGAACATCAATCCTGACACTGACCTGTATTGAAGTCATCTACTCTGCACCACTTGGCGCCTGATTTGCATTAACCTTTTTTTTTCTATCTTTTTGTCACACATGACGTGTTGAAGCAGCAGTGGAACAGGGATTAGCACTGATTTTATCCGTCACATGGCAGCAAGGACTGCAGAATTTAGATTGCATGCTTCACTGTTGATGCTTGTTTAAACTTCATACTAATTATAATAAGTATTTTAGAATAAAATGATAACCTTTAGTTAAAATGCTGCTCTTTCATAAGGAGATCTTCTGATATGTTTTTTTTTTTTTTTTGGTCGATACCAATGAGCTGGGTTTATTTTTTTAGGTGTGACCTGCCTATTCTGCTTTCTATGCTTTACATGTCACTAAAATTAGAAAATGTTCTTTCATATTCATTTCTAAGTTGACCAAAAATAAAGGAAATACAATAAAACTTTTATTGTCCAAAGCCTTCAGTAGCACTTTGCTTCATACAGCTAGAAAATATCTTTTATATTATTAAATGATGTAATTAATGTGGGGGGGAAAAAAGGAAATCACTGCCTGATTGTATCCAGAAGCTTTGTTTACCTAATTCTTAAAATCAAAAATAAAATCAAAATGATTGCATTTCTGTTGTTGGAGTTAGAATGTGGAGCCGATGCTAATTCACAGTTAAAATATTATTTTCTTGGTTTCCAAAAAGCTCTGAACAACATTATATATTTGAAAATGATCATTTTTAGTAGAGTATATTTTCATTTATTATTACTTTATTATGAATTATTATTGTTTGTTTGTTTGCTGGCTCTATTTCCTTACCATCTGCCAGCTGTTTGCCAACTCCGCTATTGCTAACCTTCAGTTAGCATTAGCAGACACTTAGCTTAACTATTGAGATGAAAAGTGGCTCTTTGTTTCCTTAAGTCGACACCAACACTCAAATGCTTTCCAACTTAATTTTAGTTATTCTTAATTTTATCTTCCAAAGCTGCTAGAATCTAGCTAAGCTAATGTTTGCTAACGTGGGCTTCTCTCCCTTTTTTTCTCACTGCTGCGTGAAGGGCGTGAAGATCTTTCCTTCTGTTGCAGCGTAATGCTACGTTCAGACCGCACGCAGCAGAAGCAGAAAAACATGACTGCTGCTTTTTTTTTTTTGCTGCTTATACCAGTTTAGTTCTGACGCACGGCTGAAGCATCTTTGCAGATCTACCTGCGCGGTCGAAAAGTGGGTATGGCGCGCGATGGGCGGAGCTACCTTATCTTTGCTTTGCCCAATCATCCTTGCAGCAAAAGTGGAGAGGAAAAACTCCCTTTTAACAGGAAGAAACTTCAATCAGAGTTAAACAAGTTTTTATACAAAATTTTCTCTCCAGATTAATATTTATATCAAAACAGCAAGAAAAATGCTAGCGTTAGCCTCAGGGCTCAGCTAACTGTCTAAAAACTAAACCGTCCTCTATGAAGACTGGAAAGGAAGTGTTGGCCTAGCGGTTAGGGCACAGAGCTTGGAATCCTGAGGTTGTAAGTTCGAAACCCACTCCCACAGACTGCCACTCTTGATCCCTGAGCAAAAGACCCTTAACCTCACACTGCCCCTGGGTGCTGCAGATTCAATTTGTGGAGAGTTTCACCATCTACCCAAGGAACTCCGAGCCAACGAGGGTCGCTTTCAGCGCTACCATCATCTAACCTGAGCCCAGTTTGACGACCTGCTGTCCTGCATTGGTGCAGCAACATCATGTGCCGATGTTCTCTCTGATTGGGTGATGTGGCACATCGAGCAGCAAAAGTTCAATTTTCCTAACTCCAGCAGCCCCTGCTTCTGAAGCGCGTCAGAAGTCAATGAGGCACTGCGCCCGCTGCTCAATACGCCCTGCAGGACCTTTTTGCTGCGCCTTGACGTGTGTCAACCATTGACTTAGCATGTAAACTAGTTGCTTCTGCAGCTTTAGGTCTAAACATAGCATTTATAACATCTGCTTTAGCCTGCAGCCATTTCACCTTTACAGTCCGTTTCCATGCGGGTACAGAGTTCAACTCTATTTGGACATAGCCTCTATCTCTTTCACAAACTCTTCTCAACCTTGATTCAAAGATTATAAACTTTTTAAACTCAGACCTATATTTCCTGGCAATTCACACTTTTTCCCAACAGCCTTTTGTTCTTTGTGTATTTTAAGTCTTTTGCATTTGAAGTGGAGAAATCAGTGAGACAGATAACAATGGTTTGGTTAAATGCAAATGCTACTTGGGCCATTGAACATCCCCACAGGTTTAACGTTAGCATTAATAGGACGCACCGCATGTCACAGATTAGCCCTCTTATGGACTTAACTCCTCCATAGGTCGTTTCCTTTGAACTGTGGCTTTATGTAGGTCACCAGATAAGTTCTACATGTTGCATGGTGGTTAAAGGCTAACAGTCCTGGTGATAAAAATCTGATTGCTGTTTTTAATTCCATTTTCATGTGTGTTTCTGTTTTGTAGGGATTCTTTAGGCGAAGCATCCAGAAGAACATGGTGTACACTTGTCACCGGGAGAAGAACTGCATCATCAACAAAGTCACCCGGAATCGCTGCCAGTATTGTCGGTTACAGAAGTGCCTGGAAGTTGGGATGTCTAAAGAGTGTAAGTGCATTCTGGTTGTTTACGCAGAATCTGCTGCCGGGGCCCGAGGACTAGATGTCCTCATGGCTGCTTAATCCTGCAGCGTCTTTGGGCTGCAGAAAATGTTACATAGTCTCCACTTGCAGGGTTGCATAAGCAGTGTTTGTGTTTGCACATATCCACTTTGGCAGGGATTCAGGTGTGAATGCTGATGCTTAATTTAGAGATTAGTATCTTTCAGTGCAATCAGACAATAAGCTGCACTAAAACATTCCTGCTGCATGGATTTCTGGCTTTTTTATATTTATGTAGAAAATATATATTTAGCCATTCCGTATATCCCAAATTAAGTTGAGATTGTTACTTTGACTGTTGCACAAAACTAATTAGATATTTAGCTATGTAAAAGAATTACAACAGGCTTAGCAGCCACAATTAACAACAAATCAGTGTTATAAAGAAATATGATAAAAAGGTTATTTTAGCAGAAAATAGATATAATTTCATTTCTCTTTCAATTTAGTCTTGGTTATTATACATTTATAATAACAGTTTTAATGCTCAATAATGACATATAAAGAGCTCAGTAATAAAACTAATTCTTATATCCTTGTTATGTTCAGTTTTAATCAAAATAATTGACAACAACTAGATAAAACAACTAGAGATTCCTGGAGAAAATCAGTCCTATAAACATCCGTACGTCTGCCTGGCTGTGTGTTTCCAGGACGGCGGCCTTTTGTATCTCTGCTTCTGTCTCCTTGAACCCCAGTCGGCCTCAGCAGATGGCCGCTCACACTGAGCCTGGTTCTGCTGGAGGTTTCTTCCTGTTAAAAGGGAGTTTTTCCTCTCCACTGTCGCTACAAGCATGCTTGGTGTGAGGGATTGCTGAAGAGTCAATGAGTCGATGCAATCAGCTGGTTTTCCTTAGATAGAAAACTTTACATCAATTTGACTGGAGGGGAGAAACGCCTTGAGATGACATGTGTTGTGAATAGGCGCTATAGAAATAAACTGAATTCAATTGATGTTAGGACTTAGCATTAGCACGATGAACTAATGTAGCAAATATGCTACAAAGGGGTAATATTGTTACAAATTTAGTAAAACCAGTTACACAGAGCAACAAGCAATATGTTTTTATCTCATTGCGGCTCACATTATAAGCAAAAATAGCCTCTAATTTCTGGTTCCATCATTTTCAGCTCCAGATTTCCTTATCAGGAAATATGTCCGTCAGAGACGAGTCCCAGTAGAAACGATTGTTTGCCAAAGGTTCCTAGGTTCACACTGAATGTATAAAAACAAACATTTGGGGACTTAACCTGCTATTATGTTGTTTATCTATTGATTTTCAAAGCGTCAGCATCAGAGCATCAGGATTGTTTGTTTAATACAAAACCGTTTTTTATATATTTGCTAAATTATGCGTCAAGAGCCTAAAGAGATGTAGAGAGCTATTGATTTTTTTTCTGTCTCATCTTTAACATATTGCATCTACCCATTATGTCTTTTAATTTTCCATTCATCCATTTGCCAGTTATTGCACCTGTGTTGGTTATAGATTCAGTATTTAACATATTTAGAAATATCTGCAGTAAACAGATGGGGAGATTCTGTATTTCGGCAAGGCGTGGACTTTTGATGCATAGAATGTGAGGTAACCCTGAAACTGATGCTTTGGCGTGAAACAGCTCTAAGCGTCGGGGAAAAAGGGCAGCCATGTATCAGAAGAGTGGCAGCAACAGTCGGGGTGTCGCCATGCTTGGCAGGCTCCTGTGATGAATACGTTCTCACCTGCCGAGAGTGAAAGAGCAGGCGTCTGCTCCCATCATTGCACCCCCGCGGGGGAGGGGGGGGGCTCTGCGAGCACACCCAGCACACGAGCAGCCAGACTTGATACAGTAATTGGTGGAGGTGTGACCACTGAGAGCTCGGAGGGCTGCAGGGTGTTTGCCTGATCCTGGATGAGCACCGGTGCGTGGAGGAGCCCCGTCGTTCTTCTAACTACAGATATACACCAAATAGATATAAAAAAGGGTAAATCCAGATGAAAGCATCTCTCATCGTCGGCGACCTCGCATCTTTTTTAAACGCATGCGAACTGCCTCTGTTGCTCTCTTTGAGCCTCCTGTCTTTCCCCAAACTATTTACCTCCTCGCTCTGCTGCAGAAAGCGCACCAGGCGCTCCCTGCGCAGCGGCTTTGTGGCTTACAGTAAAAGAAGTTATCCTCTGAGCTCCTTACCTTTGAATGGGGCCATTAATCATGGTATGAAGTATCACAGCAGCCTCCTTTACACACAGTTGCACACTGCAAGCCAACCCTGGCATAGAGTGGAGTTGGAGAGCCATCTAGTGACTAACAGGTGGTACAGCAGAACGGAGTTCCTCTGCCTGGAATCCACTGTGCGTTTCAACTTATTTACTTCTTTTCAGTTTTATTTATTTCTGCCAGCAGTTTGGGCTCATTTTGCAGATTGCTCATCCTGTGGTGACAGAAAGTGACTTTGGTCAGTGAAAGGGAGGAAAATGAGCTGTGCTGAGGGAGAGAGCCGGGCCATCTGGGCCCAGTGGGGACTCCTGACACGAGAAGGCCCACCTTCATCTGAGCGCCCACAATTTAACATGCAAAGACCGTAATTATGCATGCCCAAGGTGACGACGCCTTAAAAGAAAAGGATGAACGTGAAGGTGGCACCAGAAACGGCTCAGCTCCTCCGTGCAGAAGGTGGACTCCCCACTAGCAGCCGAGGGCGTCTTGGTGACCTTGCGACTGCTGGCAGACAGCTCCAGACGACGGCACCAGGCCTTCTGCCAGGTGGCAATGCCAAGGAAGACAGAATCAGAAGGAGGGGAGGGGGCGATGGGAGCCGCTCATGAGCTTCAGAGAAAATGCCTATAATCCTTCTGCCTGTTTAATATTAACCTGACAGCATGTTGTAAAGGAAGACTGCTAATTATGACCTGGAAAGAGAAGAGGGAATTAAGCATCCATCCAAGGTTAGAGATGTCAGGAAATATCAGTTCATTGATCTAATCGCATCGTTACCAACAGGAGCACCGTGTCTTTAAGGCCTCACTGACTGAAAGGCTTTCATGTAGGAAGTAGTGATGGTTCCAGCAACACTGATGTTCAGCCGCATGTCAAAACCTGTGTCGCTGCGCGTATCGTTTCAAAGTCACGTGACAGAAACAGGAGCTGTGTTTCATAAGCACCTCCTTCTAAACAATACAAAAAAAAAAAAATCAATCTTTTCCAGTTTATCATCAAATTAATCAAGAAAGATCAGCCTCAATAAAAAAAGAAAGGTTTGACCTGAGTGGGAATATTTTCATCTCATGTTTGTTTCAAAGTTCTGGTTGTGTCATCTTGTTCCTCTCAGTTATGTCTCAACTTAACTGAATTCAAACCGACTTCAAAGTGACTCTTAGTTTGCTGTTATTACTTATTATAAATCCTATAACGTCATTATTCATATATTCACTTTCATTAAATGCTCACATTTATAGATTGCATCTAAGTTACAACATATTTTCAATTTAAAAACAAAGATAATAGGGAGTGGTGATCTAGTGCTTAGAGAACTCAGCTTGGGTCCCAGAGGTTCAAGCCCCCCACACTCCTGCCACTCTGGGTCCCTGAGCAAGACCGTTAACCCCAGCCTGCTCCCGGGTGCCAACAGTGCAGCCCACTTCTCACCAAGGGAATCGGTTAGAGGCATAGGGGGAATTTCACCATTGTGGGACAATAAAGGATTGACATTACATAAGAAATAATACATTATAGCAAGGCTTAAATCTTATAGGCCATCAAATCAGAGTCAGTTAAAGGTAGAGGACTAACTTTTATTTAAGAGGGTGGATCATCTAAATAAGTGGTCCTCCTAATTGTCAATCATTCTGGTGATATGTTAACGTAACACCGTCCTATGTGCTCATTTCGTTAGCTATCTTTTTCTGCGCACTTTCAGGCGTATATGTGTGGTGAGCTATGGTTTCAGACAGTCATTGAAGCTCAGCTTTCTCACTGCGGTTCTTTGAAAATGGCCGAGGGTCGTTAGAGAAGTGTATAAGTAGAAAAGAAAGGCCCCAGAAGAGGCAGATGTATCCCAGAATCATCACGCGGTGGACCCAACTTGGAAATGATTATCTGTCCAAATGGTCAGTTAACAATATAATCCCTGCTCTATCTAGCAATGGAGGGATTTAGGGGTTAGGGCAGACGTTTGGGCACAGTAAGCTGGTATGAGCTATGAGAGCAGCAACCTTTAAACAGAGCGTGCACCAGGAGAAACGGGCTTGTGCACGCTCTCGCATGCGCATTTTTTTCAAAGTGGAAAAAAACTTTGAGAAAACCCTCCACAACACTATTAAGTCTCTCAGAGGCTGCCTGTAGTGATTTTAAGTGTCCAGCAGGTGTCAGTATTCAGTGAGTATTCAGTTCAGTTAACTTTTAAATGGATAACGCTTTAGGTTGCTCTTTCAGAAAGAATAAACATTGCAGAGTCTTAATCAGGTCTTTGCTTTGAAACCTTCTTATCCAATAAATAAATATATTGAACTTTATTGATCTCATAATGGAGAAATTAAGTCTCTGCATTTAATCCATCCCATCTTTGGGGGAGCAGTGGGCTGCCACTGTGCAGCATGGGAGTGGGTTTCAAACTCACAACCCTAGGATTTCTATCCCCTGACTACTAGGCCGCTGGAATCAGTATGAATGGATGCTTTGGATTTCTTTTTTTTTCTGAAAAGCTCCTTCAGGTGAAATTTGTTGTGATTTGCTTTATAACTATAAACTGTATTGAATCCTATTAAATGAACTAATTGGCATTTGGTGATTAGCGTTACTAGATTTTAGAAAATCGTGGATTGGCTGTTATGTCGAGTAAAACTGTTTTTATCTTCCTCTGTGAAGCTCTGAAAATCCTCTACTGTTATTGCTCTAAACTGTGGGTTTATAGTTGGGACGTTTTTATTGTTTCATGGTTATTGGTTAATGTTTTTTTCAGGAAGTTAA